TGGTTTAAGTTCGTTCCTAAGTTTAAGATTTGCACTCGCCCATTAATTTTATATTCGTGTTGGCATATTTTATTAAATGTCTACAAGATTTTTATATTCAAATTTATACAATTTTAAACCATTCATTTATAATAACATACGAATTTCAATATGTCCAAAATGTTTAACACAAGGCTGCTTTCAATTATAAAAAAAATGCAGTTACGTGATTGCTGTATTTTAAAATCACGTTTAAAGTAAAAAATCAAAGTCTTTGTGTTTTATTATTCAAATTAATGGATTAGCTAATTTCGATATAAATTGGCTTGATTGTCTACATACATATGTATGTATGAATATACACACATGCATACATATCGCAGATGACAAATTTATAATTGAATCGGTTAATTACCAAAGGGAATAAGTCAGCATTCTACTGATATGGCAAATTTTATGCACCGAACTGCATCAAAATTTTCATATCGAACCGATTCAATTGTGGACACCTACAACATACATATACATGTCTCCAAATGCCATAATTATGTACAATTATATTTAAGACAAAAGAAATGGGTAAAAACTAAATTTTAAATCTTTGCTTTGTGTTTTAATAAAAACGAAATGTTAGAAATTATACATACATGCATACATATATTCGTCACCTATATTGTGCCCCCTCTGCCATCTGGTATTGCAGTTTTAACGATGTGTTATACATATTTTATAATAATAATAATTGGTATGTATCAATGCATCTTATAAGCCAAAGTACTTGAGTGTTTTATTTTTTTCGTTTCTAGTTTTAAGGAAAAAGCCAACAAAAAAATAGTGCCTGTATTTTGTATAACTATATCTATTAGTGAATCGCTTTGTAATTTGTTGAAATATTTGCTTTTAATAAAAAGAATATAATTTCAATAAAATGTTTTAATTTCTGGGCTTACGCTACGTATATACGTATACGTATAGCAGGGTGTGAAAGCTGCAAGCATAATCGTGGCCGCAAGCGCCCTAATGGGTGACTTCAAATTTTTCAACTCGCGTTAACGCATTGAACTGAATAGAAATCTGAAACCATTTTAATACATACACACGTACATCTATAATAATAAAAATAAATCTCCGATTTCTGATGTGCCTATTAATGTCGTTACAATAATGAAGGGTCTTACAGTTTTATGCCGCTTCCGAACGGCAAATGGATTTTATGAGAAGGTTTTTCGTCGCGGAAATACACTCGGAGGTTTGCCATGCATGGCTGTTAGAAAACGGTTTTTCCAATTTACATGTTGCTGGACCAAGGATTGAACCCAGGTCCTATGGAATGGTAGTACGCACCTCTAACTTCTTACCTCAGCGGCCGTCGTCTATAATAGGATATAATTTCCAAAGATCTGATTCAATCAATAAACATAACCCATTTGGCACAGAAGAGACACGACTGTCATGCCATGCTGAAATCGGCCAAAATCGTTCAAGCGGTTATAACGCCAATCTCGAACAAGTAGACAATTTATAAAATTACTTATGAAAACCAAACAAGATAAATGATGTATCCAATTTTCGTGGCCAAGCGAGAATTGATAATGAGTGCTATGAATATAACCATTCGGACTATTTTTAATCAAAGAGATAAGTTCTTGTTGGTCCACCAAAAATTTATTTTATCAATATGTAAATATGTCAATATTTTTAATAAACCGCGAACAATCGATATCTTCTTAACATTTCGCGCAGCAATATGAAAGGCAGGAATGCTACTAAATTTTTATGAATAACTTAATATAAAAAATACTCAAAGCTTAGGCGCTACCGTTTCTTTTAGTCCTCACCAGCAGGTATAGCATCTTCCAGGCGGCGTACAAACTTAATTCGAAGCTCTGTCACATTGTCACCCTTTAGTTGATCCTGTCGTGAACAAGAGTAAAAGGTGATATTTAAATTAAAGATTTAGCTTAAAAATTAGCTTTTAGCTTTAAAGTTGCAAGCAAGGGTATGCATGCATCTAACATTCTTTAATTATTTTAAACATCATCTCAAATATTGAAATTTAATCATTTTTTGTTTTACATTGCCTTAAATTAAATTGTGTGTATGAATGAGTGTCATCTATACCATCCGTCATATACCTGAACAAACCAGCACTGCACGTCCAGTTGTACCATCTCCAATGCACCGCGTATGCAGCCACTGAGTATGGAACTGTAACGCAAGTTGGTCAAATCCTGGGGCAATTCAACGAATTCCGTTAGAGGATTTGTTTCAAAAACTAACGAAAACTCATCCGAGGATGCAGACCAGTTAGAAATAGTCGGTTGCACATTTAAGTACATGCGAAACGCCTGTTGTATGCGATCCGCTGTTTCGCGCATTTCTAAGCAGCGAGGTGCGGATGTTCGTGCCAAGAAATCTTCTATTAGACGCATGCCCATATTATAGCCAATACGTTCAAGTTGTTTATTTACATCTTCAACATTCTCGAAATCACGCAGCATTTGAGTTACAAGCGCACCATAGGTGAGCGTTAAGAACTCAGCATTCTGCAGATAATAAAATATTAGTAGTACTAACGGCGCGTAATTTGGATAGCGGATAGTCGTCATCTAGGTACATACATACTTATTTTACATACAAATCATTATTAAAGTAGATCCTAATCTCAATATATGTATTTCTAAAACTAAAGTTTTTTAACTGGTATAATTGGTTTTGTGCTGCCCATGTTTTTACTTTATTGGAGTGATGGTTATACTAGGGGTAGGTGCTGGAATTGGAGTTTGATGTGGTGCGATTAACTTTGGTGGGGCACGTATAGTTGCACGTGTCGGCACAGATTGCATTTGTGATTCGCAATTACCAGAACCAGATCCACCTAAGTCACTCTTTATTTGGGCCGAATGGAATCGTCCACCCTCGCCTCGTACGCGATTCATTGCATGACGGTGACGCGATTCGTGCAAATATTTAGAGCGTTCCTTCGGTATACGAGATTCAAGTTTAGCTCGAGCTTGTCGCCTTATCAGTATCCGTTTGTACTGTTTTGCGTTAACATAAAGAGGCTCCTCTTCAGATTCTCCCTTACTAGAGTCATCTTCCGCTTGCACATCATTTGTATTGGTATTTGCGGCAGAGGCAGAAGTTGTTTGCTGTGCTGATACCGATGTGGCAGTTTGCGGAACAGTCACAGTTGTGGTACCAGCTTGTGGGACCATAATAATTTGCTGGCCTACAGTATTATTATTGGCAGTGCCCTGCGGGTGAGTTGTCGCTATTTGCATTAATTGGCCGTTTATGTTAATAAGTTGCGGCTGTGGCGTAGCTTGTGCAGTTGTCGCATTTGGATCAAGGGTCAATGATGTTGCTGCTGGTTGATAAAATAGTGTTTGACCATCTGGCAATTGAAGTAGCTGCATTGGCTGTGCTGTTTGTTGGGGCTGTTGCAACATAATTTGATTTGCCTGAAGGGGTATAAGTCCGGTTGTCGTGGCTTGGGACGTTCCTGTAGCCTGTGGCTGCTGTTGTGGCAATTGCCCGATAATAATTTGCGTCCCACCTGCGGTCATCATAGGGATCAATTGTATTTTTTGCTGGTCTTGCAAGTTTTTCTTGTTTTGAGTGACAACAGTGACAGCTCCAGTGGGCTTCTGTTGCTTAATGATAGACGAGATGTTATTTATATCCATGCAACTTTATTGCTAGCTTGGGACGTAAAATCAATTTTGGCTTCTCATTTAATTACTGCAAAATCGAATGGAAATTAAGCGAACCTTCGACAGTGACTACCCGCTATCAGTATATAAAAATTGTGGCACATCAGAAACTTACCACTTTTTTAGCATCGAAACGTGAAGCTTGTCTAGACATAATATTATTCCAATTTTTTTCACTTTTCTGCAGGGAAAGCTTAAAAACTATGCAAAACTCGGCGTTTTTATGAACAAATTGTGAAGGTGGAAAATATGGCAGTTTGGGTGTGTTCAATTATCTTGTGTGGGGAAATGTGAAAAGGTGAGTTCAGTTGGGGAAGAGATTTCAAAAACTTCTTTGTTATTCAATTAAGAGTACGATTTTGAATTAAAACAAAAGGAGTTTATGGAAAATTGACTAAGCTTCATTAATTTGCGTTAACTAAATTATTATTCGTTTTGTGTTGACACATTTATATCAAATGAAATCAACTCTCATAGTTCGTTTCATGAGTATTCATTACATATATCAATGCTACCAAATAGTTCGTGCAACCCTGTTGTCAATTTTGTTTGTTTTCACAAGTGTCCGGTGTTGCTTCGCGAGGCTCCCTCATTTTTGCTAGTGAAATTTATATTTCGATTTGTGTTTCATTAAAATTAGCTAAGTTAAATCGGGCGAGATTAGATAAGAATCGGGTAAAAATATTGGGCTTTACTTCAGCTAACATCGTGAGTATTACCATTACACATTTGTTCCAAAGTATGTGAAAATAGCAAAAAGTGTCGCGCCAAAAAGAACGCCTTTCTGTGCTGCCATCTAGTTTCATTTATAAAGTTAGTAGAGGTAATCCTGTACACTCAAGGCACGACCGCACTAACCGGCCGTCTTCACGTGCTGGAAAATCTCGTTTGCGTGACGACGCATGCAAGAAACCGCACGTGTAGACCGCAAAAAGTACGAAGCATGCTTATTCTCGCATACTTAAGTATCAACTTAAAATTTAGTCTCGTAACTAGGAAGAATTGTTTTATTAAATTAAGGAAAAAAGACGAAATATGTAAAAAATAAGAGCTCAGGGCAGAGCGTGATTTTGATAATTTGAATTTGAAGATGAAATTAAATGCGTATTACAATTCGAATAAGGCTACATCACAATTTTATAATTGGAATGATTTACATATGTATATAAATGCTCAAATAATTGGTAAATTTCATGCTTGTTCTTTTAAAGCAAATTAGTGCATAACAATTAGATATGTGTTTGTATGTTTCACCGCATGCTTTCGATAAACATTGACTTCACATCATTGCGGTAGTTCTGGCTATTTCACGCAATTAACAAGAAACTTATAGCTTATTCTTTTGCATAAGCATGCAATGAAAGTAAAAATTACATAAACGGATGATCAAAGATGACATTAGTTAATAAAAATGTAATTTTTCCAAAATGTCGTAACGAAAAATCGATACATTTTCACACTCACAACAATGTTAAAAATTAATTTTTTTTAAATATGTGTTTCTTGTTTCGCTTCATAAAACTGTTATGGTAATAAATTTTTCTTAGTTCACTTGTTCATACAGTTAAATTGTTCATATGATAGTACCGTTTCAACCTTGATAAAAACATTGCAAGGTAGAACCGTTCTCTCAATTTGTCGGCCATGATTTTTTTGCCAGCATTTTAAAATCATATAAAATTGAAAATAAAAAATTGAAATTGTTCGAAATTGTTTTTGCTTGAGATTGAAAATGAAAATGTGTATGTGAGTCTGTGAGTAAATTTAAAAATTAAATTGTTTGGAAACGTCAAGAATTTTAAACGTAACTCTCAGCGGTTCTACCTTACTATATTTTTTTCATGGTTTCAACGGTACGCTTTAACATTTCCATTTAATCGCAATTTTATTTCTTTATGCCCACGTGTATTACTTTACCTATGTAATTTTTATTTAATAGTATTATCTCCCATTGATTCAAAACTTTCAGTTATATTTAATGAAGCTTAATTTAAAGTTGTATGTTATTTTAAATGAAACGACGTCATTTTGGTGTGTATTTTAATCTAATATTTGCTTTATAAAAACTCGACAGGTCAGCACGACCATACTCGTCGAGGAGCCATTTTATTTATGTTTTGAACTGTAAAATGCGTTCAAACCACGGCCGTGCACTGAAAAACTGGTCCTTAGTGCGGTATGCTCCATAATGGGGAATTTACATGATTCAACTTTCACAGGCGATTTGTTCAATCAAAAGTGGAACGAAAGTAGGCAGCCGACCAATTTCATTGAAAGCGAGTAGTTGAAAGACCGTTTACACCAGACGATTGTTGCTTTCAAGTAAAAGTTGCCTGAAAAATCGCCCCATGAAAATTCCCCATTATGGAGACAGCAAGTAACGCCTACCCCACGTCTCCACCTTCTGCAGGCAGAAATGTGAGGTGAAAGCCGTAATTTTCCACTGCTAAGCCATATCTATCTTGCCGAATTTCTTACCATCGCCGTCTTAACATCGGCTGTCATTTCGTAGTTTGACAACTCAGTTTTCATTTTACCGCGCCATTAAATTAATTTAAAAATTTCTTTAAAAATGCGTTCTTGTCGAGACAATTAAAATTATATAGCCTGATGAATAAAACATTAAACTGATATCAACCGGGACATATAAAATGTTTATAAATTAAATGTCGTGTCATTAATTTTTTGATGAGAATGCAACCATGTTCTACTCAGCTGTTGTCTTTGTTTTCACTTTAATCACAAAACTTTTTTGCTGGGTGCTTTGTGTGGATTTGTGTGTATTACGTCGAATCGAGAAACTGAATTTATTTTTACTTTTATTTACCTTGATTCAAAGAGTTTTATTTTTATAATCAAACCATATTACTGATAACAGTGTACAAGTAAGACCCAAACATCTGACTTTCATTTCTATCGAAGGGATTTTCTAAAATATATTTTGCGTTTCAGTTTGCGACGCGAGAAATTATAAACGATACACAAACGCACAAAGTAACAAAAAAAAAAATTAATAAATAAAAAATTGGTTTGAAGAAACGAAGTTCAGGGGCAAAGGAGCTTCTTTTGGACACAAAGTAAATGAAAAACTTTTAGGCGTGCCAGTGTCGGGGACCATACAAATTTTCAACTGTATTGATCTCATTTGCCAAATCCAGGACTTTAGACAACAAATTAGTGTGCACCATTGCAAAGTTCCAACACCTGCAGTCTTAAAATGTTGGATTTGGAAATCGTACCAGAGTTGTCGCTTGGGTGTGATGCTTGGGAATTTGTCTTGGGCATGCACTTTTCGCAAGCAATAGCGATTATACAATCTCAGGTGGGAATTATTAAAGGTGTGCAAGTACTCTACTCTGATACGAACCCTCTTGGTGTGGATATCATAATAAACTTGCCGCAAGATGGTGTTCGCTTGATTTTTGATCCCGTTGTACAACGTTTAAAGACCATTGAAGTATTCAATATGAAGTTGGTAAAACTGAAGTACGGTGGAGTACACTTCAATTCCCCCGAGGTGCTGCCTTCCATTGAACAAATTGAGCATTCCTTTGGAGCTACTCATCCAGGAGTATACGATGCAGCGAAACAACTATTTGCGTTGCACTTTCGTGGCTTGAGCTTCTTCTTCCCCGTTGATAGCAAGTTACAAGAAGGATATGCACATGGCTTAGGATCTCTGATTTTCTTAAGTGGAGCATCGCCTGTGGTTTCGAAAATGTCACTCTACTCCGGTAGTAACGTTTCTGAGACACGGGCTCCTCCGCTTCCACTCTCTTGTTACCATCGGCAAATCTATCTAGATTCAGTAACTGTCTTGCGTACGGCAAATGGTTATACCAAGGGTCTAAAACTGAAGCTCTTCACTGAGGGCTCCAGTCGCGCGATGGAACAGCGGCGGCAGTGTTTTACAAGGGAAATACTCTTTGGTGACAGTTGTCAAGATGTAGCCCAGAAACTGGGCGCGCCTAACCGGATCTTTTTTAAGAGCGAAGATAAAATGAAAATACATTCGTCGAGTGTAAATCGACAAGCACAGAGTAAGCGCAGTGACACATTTTTCAACTATTTCACGCTTGGAATAGACGTACTGTTTGATGCTCGAACACAAACTTGCAAGAAATTTGTTTTGCACACAAACTATCCGGGACATTTCAACTTTAATATGTACCATCGTTGTGAATTTAAGTTTAGTTTGAATTCTGATAATGGATTAGATATTAATTGCGATCGGAATATAACCGATGATATAGAAGTTACTGCATATGCTAAGTGGGACGAGATAAGTGCGGTAGTGCCATCGGCTCGTCCGGTGGTGCTCCATCGCGCCAGCTCAACAAACACTGCCAATCCATTCGGTGCAACCTTCTGCTACGGTTATCAAGATGTTATATTCGAGGTGATGACAAACAACCATATCGCCTCGGTCACTTTGTATAGCACGATTCCACCGACAAAGCAAATCGAACAGTCTTCTTATCAGCAGCACAAAATGCAGGACATTCGTTTAACAGTTGCGTGAGAAAACACAACAACGATCGAACATCAGTCTTTGTCTAAAAACTAAGCGATTTAAACTCGTAAAGAATCTTAAATGAGTTCAGTTCAAAATATGTTATTTTTGAAAAGATATTTATAAGCCAACAGATAATAGAACTGTATAACTGAAAATAAGTGGTCACTGTAAACATTATGTAGCAAATTTTACTTTTTAGCATACCTATTTAAATTTTTATTTACCAACAAGCATTGCCAGCGATAGGACGTTGGGGAAGAAGCAATTGGCAAAAGATGTATAGTTTTGAAAAAAAAAAAACATAATGTGTAAAAGTACAGCCAAAATAGATGGTTTTTATTCACATCACGTAAATATGCATATGTATGTAAATATTTCTGTGATTTTGTACACATGAGAGTTTTTATTTCGATCCAAAGCCTATAATTTGTTGTTTATTATTATTGCTTTCTTCCTTTGCCTTAAAGTCGCTCTAATGTTGCCTAATTGACTGTGGTCCGCAGCGCGATCATGGCTATACATATGCATGTAGTATATATGTATAATTGTTCCATTTTACATCAATTATTAAACAATTTTATTTACTATTGAACGCTTATCGGCTAAAATCGTTTAAAAGTTTGAAGACATTGAATATATGTTAATAAACCATACATACATACATAATATATAAGTAAATGTTTACGTAACAAGAGTAGAATTAAATTCAGAGATCGCAAATACCGGTTAACCGACAAAATTTCTGTTTCACATGCTTGCATATGCTGTTAATAGACAAAGTTTCTCACTGTGCAATATTACGCATTTCTTTGTTTTTTTTCTAAGTTATAATTTTTGATATGAAATTATATACACCTGCGTACAGATAATCAGAAACTATTTGTCTTTATTGACAACAAATTTGTTCTTAATAATTTTAATTAATTTTTTTACGAAAGTATATATAGATTATGCTACAACGAAAACCATATAAGCCAAGGTTTCATACCTTGTACAAAATTAAAAAAAAAAATCCAACTATTTTCAAAAAATGGTCATCAAATTGCAACCTTTTCAATCGGTATTTCAAAAAAAAAAATCGGATGTGCAGTTTTATATTATAGCTAAGGTGACCATATTTATGCGAGCCGAATACGTGACAAAACATAATTTTGCTAATTGTTTCCATAAAAGCTAACAGATCTTAACACCTTCTTTAATAATCTTAGATGTATGTATTAGCCCGGAACAGCGTCCTTATAGTAAACTCACAAATTTGTAGGATATCTTTCTGGAGACTTTTACTCCACAAAATTGTTTACAAAAGTTTCGTTAAATTTTTATACAATAAAGTGCAAGTTTTAAGTAGCTGGGACTTACCGTTAATTTTTGGCATTTTTTTTGTCGACGGCGCTACGCATTTTTAACCGACTTCCAAAAAAGGAGGAGGTTATCAGTTCGTCGGAATATTTTTTTTTTTTTTTTTTTTTGTATGTTACCGCATATCTTTCTNCAACCGATTTCAATAATTCTTTTTGCAACGGAAAGGTAGTGTCCCATACTAATTTGGTTTAGATCCAATCATTGGATCATGAAATATATAGATATATATATATATTTTTAAGTCGGTTTTTTTTTTTGCTAAAAATTACTTGTTTTCATACAAAGTTGGTATGTTCGACAATTTGTTGATAGGGAAGCAAATGAGCTGCACGTTGCACTTGCACTTTATTATACTCAATTTTAATGAGCTACAAAACTGCAGCCAAATATTTTTTCTAAAGGTTCTGATTAAAAAGTTGAAATTTTGGTGAAAATTTGCAGAATTAATTCTCATAGTTTTTGCACAAAGTCGGAAATTTGGATTTATATGGTTTTCGTTAGGAAAAGAACTTTAGTTAAAAAAAGTAATAAACCAAAGAAAAACAGCAGAACCTTGCTAAAATGTAGAATCCTAATTCATATTTTGATTACTGTATGTGTTCCTCGATTCGAAGCACAGACACTCAGATTAGAAACTAGGCGTCCCGTATAAAATAAATTAATTGCCAGGACAATTGGTCAAATAAGAGGACTGTCCCGTATAATACAGGACGGTTGGTCACCGTAAGTATAGCCCATTCAATTTTAGTACCATATTGGGTGAGTTTGAAACAGCACAAAAATCTCTTTGATTTTTCTTCTTTTTTTTGCTAATTTTATTCCATATAAAAAATTTTTCAAACATACTTAGTTTGTATTAAAGAAAATGTGTAACATCGTCAGCAAAACAAAAAAAAAAACTCAAATATCAGTGGGGTTTTTGTGCCGCTTTAAACGTCCACAATTATCGACTAAAATTGAATGGCCTATAATTTTAAAATTACATACCCGATTTTTTTCTACGTATTTTTTTTTTTATAAATTATCAAAACAAATTGTTTCTAATTATCTGCATGCAGTTGTACATATCTCTTCTGGTGAAATTTAATAATGGGATGTGATCACTTTTTGATTGCCATTCGCTGAGGCAAATAGTTAAGTTCGGTTATGCGTAACCGTTATCGCGTTAAAAAATTCAATGTTTTGTGAAAATGTTTATTCCAAAAAACTGTTATACCAATTAAAGTCAGTCAAATAAAATGAAAAGGTTTTTCGAATCGTGTTTTCCCCGAATATGCAAGTTTCTCACCAAGGAATACCATAACAGCGCTCCTTTGCCAGTTACTATTAAAACTAACACTGCTATTTATCTCTTTAAATAATTTGCATTATGGACATACTAGAACAGTTGTTGTTTTTGCGATCTCTGGTTAAGATAAATCACCGTTTGGAAAAATAGTATATAAGTTTACATAAATACATGCTTATACATATACATATATATATAATAGTGTATCTTAACTTACGTAAATACAGTATCTATTCGCCAAATTATAACCGATAGATTGTTTTTTTAACAAATTAATAGTTTTCACTCCAAATTTGTGTTATTTGGTTTGAAATTTTGCAGAATTTTGAAATTTCATAATTTGTGCGAAAATGATAAACAATCTGCAAAGATGCATTTAAATTTTCAACTTTTAAATCAGATTTCCAAAAAAAAAACGCGATAGCAACTTTAAATTTGCACTTCATTGTACTAGAATTTAATGGGCTATAAAACTGCGTATTCAAAAAGTTTTTGTAACTCTGATTTAAGAGTTGAAAATTTAGATGTAACTTTGCAGACTTTCTAAAATTTTTGCATAAAGTAATAAATTAACAAACTCTGCAAAATTTCACACCAAACAAGAAAATTTCAAATGAAAACTAGATATTTATTAAAAAATCTATCGGTCATAATTCGATGACTAGATACTGTATATACAGCATTTTGACATGTAAAATGCTTGCTGTTTGGCTGAGTAGTCACTGCAGCGAGCACTTATAGCCCGGTCAAGTTAGACATTTAAGGTTACAATAATTCCCATAAAGCTGAAAATTGGTATCTACGAGTATTGCAAATACCATTATAGATGAAATGCCAATAGTCCCCATTTTTCTTCCTAAGTATGGTGTAGTGCCACAGGTGGGATTTCTTTTAAATTAGACGAATAGTTTTCTCTAATTACTTTCAATTCAATCCGCTTCCATCACCTCCAGACATGGGATCGATGCGAATTTTTGACATTTCATTCATAATGGTGTTCGCAACACTCGTTCCAATTTTCAGCTTTATGCGAAATATTGTAAGCTTATCCCTATTTATGGAGCTAACATGACTGGGCTGTTATAGAGTGTTTACGTTTTTATTAATAACTGCATTGAGTTTCTAAAGTTTCTACTTTATTATATTAATTGTACTTGCACATTTTTATTCCGTTAGATAAAAATAATATAATGTAAAAAAAAGTAAAAAATTTAATAAAAAGTAATAAAAAATTAAATATATTTAAGTAAAAAAAGTAATAAAAATTTAAATAAAATAATAACGATAACAACTCCAAGAACCGTGTATTTTCATTTCATGATCTCAAGTAACTTAAACCCGTTTTCCTTAGCTTTGCGTTAAGTACAAAGTGCTCTTGGAAAATGTTTAATCTACATAAATATACACATATTTATCTTATATTTTCTGCTTCGTACTGTTGGATGTAAACAACATGTAGATCAGCGGTTTGTACTTTTTTGATATTTTTCTCTGTGGGAGAGAAAATATGGCAATTCGTTGAAGTTTTGCTGCTGGATAATATTTACTGGAAGTATACGCGAACAATACTATATATTTAAATTAGTTTGGCTGGAAATTTCACCTGCTTAAGGGAGTGAGGCGACAAGCAAATTGGATAGCGGTGATTACATTGCAGAGGTGCAAAACAAGTGCGAGCCAGATATTCACGTTGTTAAAAAATCGGTATATACAGGGGCATTTTTTTCGTACCTACCATTGAACGTTTTTTTAGAATTCTCTCAAGTAGAGGTAGGGCAAGTTCAGAAAGCGCAATAGCTCAGTAACTGTTGCGATTGCACCTTCTGAACGCGTTGTTGTGTACTTCTGATCAACTGAACAGTTGCGTATTAGATAATCGTAATATTTTTCTGATCATTTGAGACAACTCATTAGAGACAACATGTTGGTGTGTACCTTTGAGAGTTGAATTTGACTGCTAATGTATCAAGCCGTTCAGAAGACTCATAACGATCACTAATTTTTTGTTAGCAACGGTTGGGCTCAACTGCTGCGCCGTCTGAACCTACCCGTACACACATAGTATGTAGTTAAAAGCTGTGCGAAATCCCTTAAGGAAGCCGAAAATCATAGAAAGCTGGATATGTCTTCCAGATGCATCATGTTTCGACTAATACGTGGTTACCAAGAAACTTTTATGTAGTCGCTCGCAAGCAACGGCCATGAAAATAATATTTTTAAGGAGGAAGAAGTATTTAGAAAAAAAAACTATTCGAAAATACTAAGCTAGAACATCCTAAGCAGCAAAAAATACGGCGCCTAATCTCGTAAAGACGTCAATTCTTTGGAATTTAGCGAAAAACTATCAAAAGTTGACCCCTAAAGATCTTCGAAGGCGTGGTGAAGAATTGCAAAAAAAACCCTTCTTAACAGAAAACACTGCGTCTTTCAACAATAATCTGCACTAACACATAGGGCTAAGACGACACATAGTTGTTATAGCCGAATACTGATTGAATTCGCCATTTTGAATTGAAAAATCCCCGAGTACCAAATTTTATGTACATAAATCCAATATTTTTTTTTTAAGTTTTGTCCGCCATATTGGATCCGACACATCGGATTTCAAAATAAGCCACACATTTAAAAGTAAAAAAGCAAACGTTTTCAC